GAGGAGGAGGAGGAGGATTTTGTTTTGCCGATGCGCTACTCTGCCGCGAGTGGTCGCGGTCCTCCTGGCGGCCAGCCAGGCAGCCGACGAGCACGGCACTTAAGACGCTGCCAGCGCAGGATTGTTCCATGCACGCTGGCCGACCCGCAATAGCAGGCCACGCGACAGGGCCTTGCCCCCGTGGCGACTGCCAGGAGGCCCACCCGTCGGGCGTCAATCAAACAACCGCACCACACTGAGAGCATCCACGTCGAGCCAAATAAAGTCGCTCTTCGGGTGCTTGCCAGACAGGAGACGGTTCCAATATGAGGCCGCCGAGCGGGGGCAGTGCGGCTTACCATTACAAACTTTGTTGAGATAGCGCACGTAGCCCCCAGTCGAAAAAGCCTTACACTTCAGGCAGATACACAAAGCGCTACCGTCAGAGCAAGACAGGGCAATGCACTTGTGGCCAAGCTCTATGAGCTTGGTGTCATAGGGCTTGTGGGTGTGACGGCAGACACTGTTGGGAGGCCAACAGGACCTGGACACCCTCAAACATTGCTTGCACTGCCAGTAGCCGTCCCTATGCACCCAAGAGTGGCTAATCTTGGGAGCGGACACGGCGGGCTCCCGCTGCTCACGCGTGGCCTGCGACAGATCACACGCGGGCCAGAGCGGTAGCATCCTGGCAGCCAGCACACACACACACTTTCTTAGCAATCGAAAGGGCTCGATCGAGCCATTCAGACTGCTCGGGGCTCGGCCTCTCGTGAGCCAACGCCCCGAGCGTGGCGTAGTGATCAGCTAGGTCGTTCCCAGCCTTACAAAACCGCAAATGATCATCCCCTTGGGCCTGTTCTTCGGTCATGTGACCTTTGACCTTGAAAATCTGGCCCATTTCAGAATCAGCCGTCCAAACAAACATTCCAGCGTGCACCCGTTTGAAAGACAACTGTTCTGAGCGGGGGAGGGACCACACCTGTACAACATTCTGACAATCACTATAACCACAAGACGGTTCCAGGGCATTCTGGCAGGCCGCCGTACAAGCAGCGAACTCACCAGCCTGAGCCGTTTGCGGGATGGGGAGGGGGAGGGGAGCGTACACATGACCCAACTCTTGCCCAGAATCGGAGACCGAGACATACGACCACCCCGTCCGCGACAACCCCCGAATGACCGACTTGATGCACGAACCGTCCATAAAAATATGACCTTTCACAAAATAATCATCACGACCAGGGTCACTGGCATGATAAACAGTAGGTTCAGCAACAGTAGGGGCTGGAAAGAAATCACCAGGATGATACATAATCCCCAAGGTAAACAGAACCTGATCGTGCTTCGATAGGGATGATCATGCTGGTGGATGGTATTGAAAGTCATCCCCTAAAAGCTCGCGGCGCAGCTCGGCACAGGACTCGTGCACGCACTTCCACAACCTGTGGAAAATCGTGTCCTGCTCCGTGCCGCACAGGGGGCAGAGCAAGTCGGGCAAAATGTAGCCGTGCTCTGACGCTCTAACCTTGGTCCACGGAGCCTGACAGACGAGCCCGCGGATACAGCCTTTCTCCCAAGGCGTGAGCTTAGACGAAGCCATAGCACGGAGCGGCACGTCTAAGCAAGCACGTCGCTCAAGACCAAGGCTGTCTCCGTAGGCACGCTCATGAAATCTGAAAACGGCGAGACGCAGCAGACGTTTGAGGAGGGCAGGAGAGACAAGCGTCAACTGAACTTCCACCCCCAACTCGTCAACCAAGGTAGAGAAAGAGGGCATCTTCCACCCAAGACGCTCCACGGACAACCTGAGGGCCCCAACGGGACCTCCAACCTGCCTCCAGGAGGGGGGAGGGCCCGCAAACACAGTACTCCAAGCCCCCCTGAGCTCGGCCAAGCTGAGGCCAAACTCGAAGGAGGCCGTCAGGCTGGCCCAGATTTCTCTGGACCAGCGCACGGGGGGAGGGGGGGGGGGGGGGGAGGGGGAGGAGGGGAGGGGGAGGGAGGAGGGGGGGGGGAGGGGAGGAGGGGGAGGAGCGGGGAGGAGGAGGGGAGGAGGAGGAGGAGGAGGAGGAGGAGGAGGAAGCCGTTCTGGCGCCTAAGTCTTCGGACGAGGAGCTTGCAACAGCGAACTTCAGAACGGCATTGCTGTTGCGGGCCAATTTCGGCTTCGCCATTTCGTGTGAGCTCCTGCAGGAGCACCAGTCTCTCGAGTCTGCACCTTCATGGGGCGCGATGGCTCAGGCTGGAAGAAGTGGGGAGACAAGCAGTGGAATGACTGGTCTAACTGGTCCGATTCCAATTTCAAGTGGAAGTGCGTGTCCTGCGGATGCGCAAAGAATGATGGATGGATGCAGTGGTGCAAGCACTGCAACACGGCTAGGAAGGAGGTCATGGTGTCGGAGTATGCCAAGCCGCCTGGTGTCTGGGCCGAGCATCACGGTCATCTGCTGCCTGCTGATGTACGTCTTGTTGGTCTGCAGTTGCGGCAGTCAGGATGGCTCGGAGCTTCTCTGCCTGCCACCAAGTACACGCCTGACCAGCTGCCGTCGCTGCGCGCCCTCCAGCAGTCCATGTCAGAGCTGGGGGATGTGGCGGGGGCGGCTCGCCACCAGCAGGCCATCGAGGAGTTGGAGAAGTCTCAGGCTCCAGCCACGCCTACAGTGGGCGCGGCGAAGCACGCCATGGAGCAGGCTAAGTGGCAGCTCGACCGTGCCGTCGGCAAGGCTGAGAGCTTGGAGGAGCAGTTGTCGGAGGCTCGCCAGGCTGCAGCGCAGGCATACATGTCATACGAGCAGCGCGAGAAGGTTTACAAGGAGACTGTTCGAGGGCTGGCGGCTAAGGTTGTGCCTGAGGAAAAGAAGTCCTCGGCGCCGCGCCTCAGCCTGGACGACATGCTGTCGGGCAAGGACATCGATTTCGACGACGGCGGCCTCTTCGGCATTGAGCAGCTCGAGGGTGTCGAGGTGCAAGATGCTGATCGGGATGAGCTTGAACGGCGCAAGGCAGAACTACAGCAGCTCGTGCAGGCGGCCGCTCGGGAGGCGTTCCAGGGGCTCAAGGAGAAGGCCACCGCGATGCTGGAGGAGCAAAAGCGCTTCAACAAGCGCATGCAGGCAAAGAGACGACGAGGTCATGACGGGCAGGATACCCCGCCTCCTGACAGCTCTCCAGCTACTGCGGCAGCTGGTGATGGTGGCGCTCCTGAGCCTGCTGCTCAAGTCCCTGGTCCGAAGGTACCAGTGGTGGATCTGCTCAACCAGGACTCGGAGACTCCAGGACGGCCTGCCCAGGTGCCACCAGAAAAGATCGACGAAGTCTACAACAAGGCCAAGGCAGCAGCCAAGGCCAAAGGCAAGGGCCAGGAATGCAAAGTTGACGGCAAGGGTGGTGGCGCTAAGCAGTCTGTTTGGCACAATGATTACTGTTTGGACGGCCAACACTACCAGCTGGGGGCCGTGTATTTCTTGCGTTGAGACAAAGGCCAAGCAGCGCCGCCAGGATGCTAAGTTCCGCCAGGCGTTGCATGGGGCACCGACAGGCAAAGGGACTTCAAGTACTGTTTCAACCTTCCCTGGCCCGCATATTTATCTTTTTCAGGAGCTCGGAGTTCGACCATCCGAGCAGATCGTTCGTGAGAAGATGTTCAGGGACCAGGGACTTCTCACGTCGGCGGCGCCGTCCAGGGAAACTGAAGCAGGGGGGGCTCTCTGGAGGGGTTGCTATAGGAGTGCCAGCTTGTATTGGAATGGGAAGACCTCCAGAGTTGCCCCAGGCGTTGCCGTCACCTCACAGAGTTTTGATCAGGTGGGTCAATGCGTTTCTTCCAGGAGGTGTCTTGGTGGTTTCCCTGTACCTACCCACGACCGACCCCTTCGGTCCCGAGGGCACGCTGCTGCTCAGTAGATTGGGTGAAGCACTTCACTCAGCAGGATTGCCTTTTTTGATTGGTGGCGACTGGAATGCTCCACCTGCGCTGTTGGGACGACTCGGGTGGCCTAGCAGACTGGGTGGAAGGATAAATTCGCCGTCGTTGCCAACCTGTACTTCTGGAAAGCGCGAGTGGAGAACTCTCGATTATTTCGTGGTCTCGGAAGCTTTAGCCCCCTCGGTTGTGTCGCGCCAGGTTTCTCTTGGATCCCACTTGAAGCCTCATCGGCCCGTCAAACTTGTGATGAGAAGCAAACCGATACTGCAGATGATGACCGTGCTCAAGGCCCCCAAGAAGTTCCCCAAGGAGCGCCCACTTGGACCCGTTCCAGGACCTCCTCGTGGTTGGGATCAGGTTATCACCTTCCTTGAGAACCAGGGCACCCAGGAGGACCTCAACGTAGGCTTTGGGAAGTTCATGGGTTTGTTGGAGGAGGAGCTGATCGCGGCTCATGGTATTTCTGAATCTGAGAGGTCCCGCTTCACAGGACGAGGACATGGGTGGAAAGTTAAACGGGTCCCTGCCCTCCCCCAAGCGCCTGGGCCATATCCTGTAGCATGTCCGTTGAGCAGGGATTGGAGGAGGTGGAGTAATTGGCGTCAGGAGCTGGCTCGTCTTAGGTCTCAGGAGTCTGCCAAGGACACTGTCGGAGCAGCAGCCCTCTTCGCGAAGATCCTTCTCGGCACTCCCTTGCTGCGCAACAGCGAGGAGTGGAAGGGCATGTGGTACCTCACCCCAGACTATTTATCATGGTGTGATTCCGGGGCCCTCATGGACTTGCATGAGACGGCTGGAGGCCACGCCAAGAAGCTTGAATCCAGATTTGCATCCAGCCGAGCCCGACAGTGGAGAGGGTTTGTACAGCAGGCTGTGCAGGCAGGAGGAGGTAAAGCTCATCAGTATACTCGGCATCCTCTTGGTTGGCGCCCTGTGGCACCTCGCAAAGGAGAACCCCC